CTTATTTAACTTAACTATCTATATTTTTATATTTCCAAAGATAAAACAACATATATATCTAACATATAATCATTTACACTGAGTGGTGTTGGAACACACAGTTCTTATATATTAGTTATTACTATATAGGGATAATCCACAGTTAGCTGTACATTAAATGATTTTAATGCACAATGGAGGCAAAGAACCACCCAACGCGAAGTGGACCAGCATTGAGACGTTAAAAGCTGTTAATGATGTTTGTAACGCAATGTCTGACTGGAAGGGGAAAGATTACGATTATTTTCATCAGTTATGGCTTGTTAGCTCTAGCATTCTGCCCACTTCAGATCAGACACAGATATCAAATCGTGCGGTAGATCACATTTATTTGAATTAATTAATTATATAATTTATTTTAATTAATTGTCGAGAGAGAGAGAGAGAGTGTGAATTACCTGCGTCTGTGCATCTCTCCCTACAAACAATGTAGCTGTGAGTTTGGTTACTTCAAAAACAGCAATTGTATCTCATCGTTGCTGAGGAATCTAACGTAGTGACCCAGCATGGAAGCTATTGAAGTCGTGGGGCAGTGTTCACAAGTGTGCGAGTGATGTGTGTGTTTGTGTGCATCAATGAAAGCAGGGCATTAATATGGAACGGTGATTAAACTGACTTGGATACGGAAAAAAAATTATTAGTGACCAGATGACAAACAAATATTTATTTTACATTTTATACTCAACAATTAAGTCTATTGTTTTAAGTTTAAGTATTTTAAGTTTAATTTTTTTAAGTATAAGTATTGGAAGCACTTTATTATTGTCTAATAACTTACATTAACTTTTGTTTTCTCAGATTGGCACAATGGACAGAATTATTATTTTCGAAATTCTGAAGGAAATTTTTTTATATTTATTAAAACAAATTTTAGGTGACCTTTGTAAAAGGCTAATTTCAAAAATATTTGATAATAATAACAATAATGATAGTCAATATAATATAAATGTAAAATAATTTTTTATTTCTTAGTTTCTCAATCCTGCTCCGTGGGTTAAATCTGGTGTGGTAGATAAGGGAGGGAGAGTGGAGGTGTTTGGGTGTGAGAGTGGAGGTGGCAGGGTTGGGTTGGGAAGCCATAGTGCAGGGCCACCAGGGGCAGTATTGAGAAACACTTCAAAAGATCTACAAACATTTGACAGTAAGGGACAGCTGTAACACAATTGTATGGAAGCCCGTTTCCGCCACTGAATAAAAAAAGAAGGAAAAAAGGTAATTGCGACTTTTTATCTCACAATTCGGACTTTTTTCACATAATTGTGAGATATAAACTCGCAATTGCGAGTTATAAAATCAGAATTGCGAGATATAAAGTCAGAATTCTGACTTTTTTTCTCAGAATTGCATGATATAAACTCACGATTGTGAGCTATAAAGTCAGAATTGCGAGATATAAAGTCACAATTGCGAGATAAAAACTCGCAATTCTGACTTTTTTCTCGTAATTGCGAGTTTATATCTCGCAATTCTGATTTTGTTTCTCGCAATTCTGAATTGCGAGTTTATATCTCATATTTCTGACTTTATACCTCGCAATTGCGAGTTTATATCTCGCAATTGCGAGAAAAAAAGTCAGAATTGTGAGTTTATATCTCGCAGTTCTGACTTTATTTCTCAGAATTGCGACTTTATGTCTCGCAATTGCGAGTTTATATCTCTCAATTATGACTTTTTAACTCGCAATTACGAGTTTATATCACGCAATTTCTGAGAAAAACAAAATGTCAGAATTGCAAGTTTGTATCACGCAATTCTGAGAAAAAAAGTCAGAATTGCAAGTTTGTATCACGCAATTCTGAGAAAAAAAGTCAGAATTGCAAGTTTGTATCACGCAATTCTGAGAAAAAAAAAGTCAGAATTGCAAGTTTGTATCACGCAATTCTGAGAAAAAAAAAGTCAGAATTGTGAGAAAAAAAGTCGCAATTACCTCTTTTATTTTTTATTCAGTGGCGGAAACGGGCTTCCATGCAATTGGCATGGCTACAGTTCTCAGAAATAATAATTTTGTCCATTATCCAGTAGCTTCCCGGAGAGAGATCTTCATGGGTTTTGCCCACAACAAAACTTGTAAGTTACTTAATAAAATATTGTTAAAACAACATGCACAAGTGTTTTTTAGAATAATTTATAATTTAATTTAAATTATATTAAATTAAATGTCACATTCCATATGTAATTTTCAGGTGTTGTTGGTCTGGAGCCTGGCACAACAGCAAGACTTTTGATCATATATAGCAGATAAAAAATTTAACAAATTACATTTTAGTTATCTTACTAGCTTAGTGAGAGCTGAGTCAAAGCTTTTTCAATAAAATTATTTAAATTGTGTAGTAATTAAATGAATTTTGTTGAGTCTATGTTAGATATGTAATTTTAACTAGTTTTTTACTAGTTACCATCTGCATAATGTTGTGTTTAAATTTAAGAAAATATTATACGATTACAATCTTCTCAAAATGGGTTGTTTGTGTGTTTTGAAACAGAATCATCAAGCATTTTGCAAAGAATAATTATAAGATCTATATTAAGATATCTCTCTCTCTCTCCAGGACCATGTAACTCCTTGTCATTGCTGGTTTCAAAGCACAAGATAAAGACAAAGCACGAGATTAGGGGTGCTCCGATTGATCGGCAGTCCCTCTAAAGGCCGATGTCATAAACCGATCTCAAGCTGACGATGCGCCTGTCGTGAGAGGTTTGGCATGACATACAGCGGCACGGTCTCAAGCTCTGTCCGGTGCGGGTAAAATAATTATAATGCTGAAGGTGAGGTACAATGCATATTTCTTTATTAAATAACTTGCAGAGTCATTTGAAAACTTTCTGTGAGACGTAATTTCACAAACAGCGCGAGTGAATCACTGTGCGCTCTCTCTCTCTCTGTCCCTCTCAAAATGTGCAGATATTGCTTCCTGTGATTGACGATCAGTGATCAGCTCCGAAAATCCTAAGCACCCTTACACGAGATCACTCTGCTGTGAGGGTGTATGGCAAGATCCCAAGACATGTTGGGATCAAGAGAAATGCCAAGAGAAATGCCTGACATGCCAACGTGTACATCCCGAGAAAAAAAGAATATGAGCATCAACTCACATCATGAAATAATAAATGATGAGCATTGCAATGTGTCTGTGGTCATTTTTCACTACTGGTCTTTTAAAAGATAATATTTTTTTAAGTATAAATTGTATTTGTACTTGACATGTATACAGCTTAGATATATGTTCTACATTTCAAAACTAATTTGATAGTAGCATGTAATATGATATAAAAAAAGTTTGAAACATAAAACTTAAAAAGAGGTACAGAAAGTGAAACAAAATGTGTTGCAACACTCCTCTGTCTTTTCATAAAGTGGTATAACCATCTTATGCGTTTTGTTTAAAGGTACAATGTGTAATATTTTTGAGAATCTGTTTACAGAAATGCAATGTAACATACAAAACTATGTTTTCAGTGGTGTATAAATACCTTACAAAATTCACGTTATGTTTTAATTATCTTAGAATAAGCCATTTCTATCTACATACACCGCGGGTCCCCCTCCATGGTTAAGTCGCCATTTTGCACCGCCATGTTTCTACAGTAGCCCTAAACGGACAAACTACTCTACAGAGCGCGTTTAGTCACTGTTATTCTTCTTCGTTTCTTCCTCGTGTTCTTAGAGGCAGCTTGCATCGTCGCTACATTGAATACGCATGAAGAAGTAGTAGTAGTCGTTGTGTGATTTATTAGAAGCAGAGGTCGTTTGTAGAAGAAATATTTGAACAAATGGAGGACAACTCGTATTATTTTGCACAAGAGCCGATGGCGTAGTTATTTACCATTACGTTAGCTAGCTGCTTCACTACTCTTATCTTCTACTAACTAGCATGCAAGAATCTAGGTAAAGTCAGCAAATAAAACACTAACACAATGATGCATATGTAACAATAATATTCCCAATAACATATCTGTTTACTAGATAATTAATTACATATAATTTCTTAATTTATCTTTGTAAAGAAACCTCAACGCTTGACTGGCTACTTTCTGCTGTCTCAGATGACGACATCTTCTTCTTCTTCTTCTGATGTTTTATGGTGGTTGGCAAACCAGCTTTTGGTGCATATCCCGCCACCTACTGGGATGGAGTGTGAGGCGATGATATCAAGGGAAATGCTAATTCAAAAAAAAAATCCTTCTACCTATATTTTATTATATACATTTGCTATTTTCAGAAAATTAATAAGAGCTTTATAACCTTTATGAGAACTGTTTAAGACATTTTGTAATGTCATAGAATTAATGCCAGCAGCTTTTAATTCCTCTTTTAAAGGGGTCATATGACATTGCTAAAAAAGAACATTCTTTTGTGTATTTGGTGTAATGAAATGTGTTTATGCAGTTTAAGGTTCAAAAAACACATTATTTTCCACATACTGTACATTATTGTTTCTCCTCTATGCCCCGCCTTTCTGAAACGCGTTGTTTTTCTTATCCACAGGCCCTCATGAATGTAAATGCCCGTTTGAGAGAACTATACCCAGACAGTGAGGAGCTGTTTGACATTGTGCTGATGACCAATAATCATGCCCAGGTCGGAGTTCGCCTCATTAACAGCATCAATTACTATGGTATGGAAAGAAAACAGGGATTTCTGTGACTATGGCCCGGTTTCACAGACAGGGCTTAGATTAAGCCAGGATTAGGCCATTGTTCAATCGGGAAATTTAAGTAATTTTTATTAACATGCCTTAGACAAAACATTACTGGTGTGCATCTTGAGACAAAACAATGGCACTGACATATTTTAATATATGTCAGTGCAAATTGCTTTTAGTTAGGACAGCTCGAACATGCATTTTAGTCTAAATAATATTATAATATATAATGTTTTATCTGGATAAGAGAGGGGATTGTGATTGATGAATACTTATAGACAGAATTCTGAAAAGACAGAATGTTTCGATAACTTTTTTTATATTAATAGTTGAGTAAAAACATGTCTTATACTTAGTTATGTAAACAACATTAAGCATTAAATAACTTTAATGTTAAATAATTTTTAAAAACAATTACCTATATTAACTGAGCAAAAAAAACTTTTACATGTCATATAAACACCAGTATTTGCAGTAAAAAAGCATTTTATTTTTACACCCAAATATCAATATTTTAGTTTTGTCAATATTTCAATAATCCAGATGGTTAGTCTGTTTGTGGAGACCTTCAGAGAAAATGCATGCCAGGCCAAATAATTTCTAACATTAGCATTAACATGCATATTTTTAATAAATTTAAATTCATTCAAGTATCAAGGTGCTTGAGTCATTGCAGCCACAGGTATAAGTGGAAATGAGAATCTTAAAGGCCTTCTGAAAGCGAGGATAGAAGAAACCATAGATCAATGGATTACAAGTGGAGTTAAAGTATCCAAACCAAACCAAAGCATCAAAAACATCACCAGGAGTCACGAAATTGAGGAAAGGATCAACAGCAGTGGCGGTAAAAAAAGGCAGCCAGCAGAGATAAAAAACACCCATGACAATGGCCAGAGTTTTAGCTGCTTTTCCTTCTCTTTGAGCAGAGCCTTGGCTCTTCAACCCTCCAGTCACTCTTTCAGACATAACCTTTGCGTGTTTGCGTGCAACATAGAAGATATTCATATACAGAGAGCTCATGATCGTCCCGGGAAGAAAGAATGTGAGAAGTGAACAAATAAGACCCCATTGTTTGTTAAAAAACAAAACACAACTTCCCACACAGTAAACTTGCATGATGAACGACTCCAAGCCAATTTTGTTTATCCCTGAAAACACAATAGAAAAGCTGTACAGAAATGAAAAAAGCCACGTGAAGGTAGTAAATACAGTCACAATGTTGTTTGTGACCCTCATTTTGTACCTCAGGGGGTCACAAATGGCCCAGTACCTGTCGACAGATATTAAACTGAGATGTATTAAAGAAGAGATGCTGAAAGTCATGTCCAAACTAGAATGCACTTTACACACAAAATCTCCCAGATACCAGCAGCCTTCAACAGATCGCACCATGCTGTACGGCATGACCAAAGAGCCCAGCAGACAGTCGCTGGCTGCCAAAGAGCGAACGATCAGATGAGTTGGAGACTGAAGCTGTTTGAAGTGAGAGATGGAGATGATGATCAGCAGGTTCCCAAAAACTGTTGTGAGGATCATCAGCACCATTAAAACATACATCGCCACTTTAAGTGCAGGGAGGCGGTGAGCTCTGGGACAGGAGTCAGGCAGGAGTGGATAGCAGAAAAACACAACTGTTCTGGAACAGTGTTGTAAATACAACTTAACCACTAGTTGTGTCCTCTTTTGAAAGGCCAAAAAAAGTAGTTTCGCTCTCACAACGAAACACACAGCGTCTCTACGACATGGCGGCAGCAGCAACAATACTACAGCGAGAATCAAAGTTACGCCTTCTTTCTTTGCGTGAACATTTGGGCGGCGTTAT